TGGTAGTCACGTAATTTTGACATTTCCATTGCTAGATATTAACATAGGTATAGAAATAGGTGTTGTCATCCTCAGTGTGGGTGTCATAAGTATATGTTGTCTCATTCTGTGAATTCAGTGTGGCAGGTTATAATATTCCTCGTTTTGTTGGTAAATGAGTCAAGGCTGTACTGATGAATGCACCTGCCAAGTGCAGGAGGTCTCTGCTGTACCCTACAGTTGCCAAGGGGCTCTAAGGGGATGTTAAGAAACTTAACTCCAGAAGAGAGAGGTACAGGGCTCCTGGCTTCTGGTTCAGTACATCACAGCACTTCTTTCAGAGACCTGAGATATAGTCTAGTTCTTCTGACCTTTAGCTGGAGTCAGGAAAGTTATTTTGATTTGTAAATCCAGTGAAAGTACCAGCTCTACCTCCCAGGTGGGTCACAGCTCAGGTGACACCATTCCAAATGTGTAATATAGAAAACTTATATTAGTACAGAGAAGCAAGATCTCCCAGTTCCGGCACCCCCTCCCCCTGTTGTTAACCTTAGCTCCTTCTGTGGTGGCTTTATGCTGGAATACACTGGGATATTCTGGAACTCTCTGGAAACAGAATACTGTGTTCCAGCACTTCCATTAGCTCTTCCTTTTACTGCTGTGCCTTTGTTAGGTTTCTGTACACATTTAGTCTTCTCAACAAACATTTTAGATTCAGAGGTATTTTATGAAATATGTAAAATTTACTCCTATCCATATTACCTACTTTTCCAAAACAGTTTGTTTTGGGACCTAACATTTTTGAGGTTCTCTTGTCTGTCTGGTGTGGTACCTTTAGGGAGGTCTCCCTATGGGTCTGCCCTTGCCAACTTCCACACAAAAGCAGCTCTACAGCAAATTCCTAGTGATCTAGGGCTTAGGCTCCAGTATATCCAACCTGACCCTTTTACCTTTCCTCTTTATCCTCCTTAACTCTTTCAGCACTTATTGAACATGTACTGTCTTAGTCCATTTGGGCTGCCATAACAAATACCATGAACCAGATAGTTTATAAACAACAAATTTATTTCTCATAGTTCCAGAGGCTGGGAAGTCCAAGATCGAGACTTGGCAGATTCAGTGTCTGGTGAGGGCTGCTTCCAGGTTCATAGACAGATGTCTTTTTTCTTTTTTTTTGTCTTTTTCGTGACCGGTAAGGGGATCACAACCCTTGGTGTGGTGTCGCCCACACCGCGCTCAGCCAGTGAGTGCACCGGCCATTCCTATATAGGATCTGAACCCGCGGCGGGAGCGTTGCTGTGCTCCCAGCACCACACTCTGCCAAGTGCGCCACGGGCTCGGCCCAACAGATGTCTTTTTGCTGTGGCCTCACATGGGGGAAGGGGTGCAGGAGCTCTCTGGGATTTCTTTTATAAGGACACTAATCCCATTCGTGGGGGTTGCACCCTCATGACCTAATTACCTCCCAAAGCCCTCATCTCCTAATACCATCACCTTGAGGGGTGAGGATGTTAACATATGAATTTTGGGGGACACACTCTGTCCACAGGACATCCTGTGTGTCTGGCACTGCTGTATGCAGAGGGTACAGTATGGAAAAAGGCAGACTAGCTCCTTACCTTGGAGCGTGCTTGCTGTCTTTTTGACTTTTAGGCATGTGATGAAGACATCTCTATCTAGTGGGTGGTCGTTATCAGTGCCTCAGTGTTTTTTATTAGGACATCACTATTACAGGTAGTTGGCAGGAGAAGGCTGGGATAAGGCCATTCTTAAATACTTTACAGAAAAAGTTTCAGTGCTGCATGTATAATACCTCTTCTGTACACATCTGTCAGCCTCTCTTTTGCTTACACATTTCCAAAAGCCAAATTTAGGGAGTACAGATGCTTTTTGACTTACCATGGGGCTATGTCTTGATAAACCCATCCTAAGTTGAAAATAGTGTTAAGTTGAAAATGCATTTAACACACCTAATCTACTGAATATCTTGTCTTAGCCTGCCTTATACATGCTCAGAACACTTACATTAGCCTGCAGTTGGGCAAGATCATCTAATACAAAGCCTATTTGGTAATAATGTGTTGAATATCTCATGTAACTTATTGGATACTGTATTGAAAGTTAAAAACAGAATGTTTGTATGGGTATTTGAAGTACGGTTTCTGTTGAATTCCTATCACTTTTGAACTGTCCTAAGTTGAGGACCATCTGTATATTGTAGATTTCGGTGACTGTCAGAACCCTTGTGTATTAGTCCATTTCTGTTGCTTATAACAAAATACCTAGAACTGAGTAATTTGTAAGAAAATGAAATTTATTGCTTACACTTTCAAAGGCTGGGAAGTCCAAAGTCCAGGGAACACATCTGGTGTGGGTCTTCTTTGGTGGTGGCTTTACAGCAATGCAGGTGTCCCACATGGCAGAAAAATGGAAGATCAGAGAGAGGGAGAGAGACTCTCGTGCTCTTTTAAAGTCCTCAGATCATGCCTGTGACCACCATTAAACCATCAACTTAATCACCTCTTCAAGGTCCCACCTTTCAGTTAACATAAAAGGATTTCCCACACTTAACAGTTACAGTGGGGAATAAGTTTTAGGGGTACGTTAAATCCAAGGCACCTTGACTGAACCTAATGTTCTAGTTGGTTATGTGAGTCTTCATTGGCTTTCAGGAGCCTTACATTATGTGACTCATAGCATGCAGCTAAGCAGGCCTGCAGCTGGCCCTAGGGTCCTATATCATACAAATTTGACTGGTTTGATGTTGATTTTACTCCTTGGTGATTATATCTATGCAAGCGTTTCCTCTCCAGGCCAGTTTGGCAGTAGTCGTTCACCATCTATTAAAGTGAGATACTCTCTGTCTCTTGGTACCTTTTCTCTGTTACCTTCAGTTCTAGTTATAGACATTGTATTTGTCAGCTCTGAAGCAATTGGGAATATTTGAAGAGAGGGAAAAGCAAAGGTCAGTCTGATCATCTCGGATCTGTAGGATCAGTGGGCTTGCTGGTTGGAATCCTGCAGCTGTTCCTGTAGTTAACTAGCCAAGTGTCTTTGGAGCTCCTGAAGCAGGGGCCAGCATTTGTCTATATTCCAGAAGGCTATCGTAGCTTTCCCTTATCTCTTGCCAGTCTGACCAGAGGTCCCCATACAGGTGAAATAGTAATTGGGTTACATTTGTAATATGAAGGGTTTTAAACAGCAAAGGTAAAATTTTATGTCTTAATTTTTAAAGGAGAATAACTAGACTTTAAGCTTATGTTTTTTTTTCCAATATAGAAAATTTTCAAATTTATTTTTTTAGTATAGAGAAACTTGGCATTCATTTTTTTTTTTTTTTTTTTTTTTTTTTTTGGCCTGTGTAAATGTCAGTAAGATTATTGGTGTTTAGCGTAGAGAAATTGTTCAACAACATTATAAAACCATTGCATTACAAAACCATTACAGTAGAAGGGATATTTGATTTTCTGCTCATAAGAAGTAATTGAGACATGTTACTTGTTATTTTTTGAAGGTATTTCCAATAACAGAATTGGCTGTAATTGGGCTTCTGATGCACTTCCTGACTCACCCTGAGATGGCATTTGTATAATTTGAAAGATATTCTAATATTTTATGCAAGTTAGTGAGGTAAGCCTTGTAAAATAGAGGAAGTAGATAGGTATGTTTGCAGAGGGTTTTATATTCTGACAAATATTTTTGAGTATATTTTCTTATTTAATCCTGGTGACATCTCTAAGACTTAGACATGTGAAGGGACCTGAAGTCATACAGCTACTAAGTGACCAGCGGAGGGCTCAGGCCCACCTCTCCTGTCAGTGCACTGTCCCCTCACTGCACAGTGCTGCTGTCATCAGGTCATGCAGTGTGTCTGCAGATGCTGCTGCCATGTCTTGACAGTGGTAGCACTGCATCTTGCTTCTAAATTCAGGGTAGTAGTAAGGTCTCTGGCATCCTTTTAGAGAGGCGTGCAGAACTATTTTTGTCTGTAGAATTAATTTTTGAAAAGTCAGGATATTCATGAAGTTCTTTTAAACTTAAGTCTTGACAAAATTAACTGAAATTAGAAAGGTGATTTCTGAAGAGACTGGGGAGGAATAATGATAAAAAAATATAAACTGCCAGGTATGCTCATTAGTGTCTTGGTTTTATATATTTTCAAGCTTAAAAGAAATGTCGAATGAGCTTCTGGCATTTGATACTACAGTTTACTTGGGTACTTTTAAGACCTGTGAAAATATGATACTGGTGGGAATTGATTTTGTTCTCTCTTGCCTACTACCTGTAAACGGTAACTTTAATTCTGTATATCTGTTCTCATTCTTTTAAGTGTAACTATTATATTTTAATCTTTAATGTTGTAAGGAGAATTGTTACATGCAATAACAGATACAGAAGCATGAAGAATCTTGGTTAAACCTGAGAAGGAGTTACCTGACAGAAAATGGGTAATATAAAACTAAGTATTTAAGGCCTTTTGAAACGGAATTTTAGGCATGGTTGCTGCTGTAATGTGTCACTAAGGGAAGATATGAAATTTCTTCCTCTGAAGATCCTGGAAAATGGGTTTCATTCTCTTCCACTTGGGGGCCTTGCTCTTATCCTCTTTAGTCAGATCTCAATTCTGAGATGCTCTGGGGGCTGAGGGGTCTTGAAATGTCATTTTAAGATTCTTTCTTAAATTCTAAGGGTCGGCCCATGGCTCACTTGGGAGAGCATGGTGCTGACAACACCAAGTCAAGGATTAAGATCCCCTTACCGGTCATCTTTAAAAAAAAAAAAGACATTCTTTCTTAAATTCTAAAGAAGAGATACTAAGAAACTATGAAATGACTCAAAGTCAGTAGATATATAGAAAAGACAGAAAGGGCTAACTGGGGTTATCCACAAAAGCAGTCATCAGTTACTATATTCCTAAAAATAAAGTATGATTTGCTGGCTAGCGTGTACAATTGGTGATAACTAATGAGTGTCCCATTTCTTCTGCCTGTTGGTACAAAACAGTGAGACAGTTTAAGCAGAAGCATCTCACAGCCATCGACTGCCAACATTTGGCCCAGAGTCATTTGGCTGTGACCCAGCCCTTCGGCCAGAGATGGACAAACATAGATCCGAACCATGGTCTCTATCCTAGACCCAGGACAAAGAGAGGGAGAAGGGGTACGTCTTCCAATAAAGTGTCTTGCATTTAAAATTTATAGTGGGTGTGGCCTTTGACTATCTCCCAGTTTAAAAGTATTTGTAAGTATTGCTGCTGTGATCTTGTAGTCCTGTTGCAGTAGTTTGACAGTTTTTCATTACTTGTGAGTTTTCCATGAAAATTCTGTCTGATTACAGTGGTTGACAAAAGCCCTGGGAAAATGTGATGGGATGAATCCCATTAGCTTGTGTAATTGTAGAGCGAAGGAATGCATGGACCAGTGTCACCATATTCCAACCCAGAAACATTGTGATTATTTGACTCTTCATCAGTTGTCTTTGTCCAATCTGTTGCTAGGTCCACCATGTCATTATTTTTCCTTCAAAATATTCCCTCATCCAATGTTTTCATGGTAGACTGTGCCCTTTGTCACCTAGGACCTAGACCACTGCAGTAACCCTTCTCCTTGACTTCAAATTTTATTTCTTCCACATCAACTGGAATATATGTCATCAAGTTAATATTCTTGAATATGATAATTTTCTATAATGTCATAGCCATTCTCAAGAACCTACAGTAAAATGTTGCCCCGTTACTATCATGGATGCAAGCTCACCCTTGCCATCACCTCATGTTTATTATTATTATTATTATTATTATTATTTACAGCCAGTCAAATTTAGCAGTGGGGGGTTGTATACCAGCTTTAATGACACTAATGTTAATAAGTTGTAGTAACCTACTACCATCGGACCAGTCTGATATTTATTATTAATAAATGAAAGTTCCACTTCTGGCAGTTTGGTTTTCTTTTTACTCCTCTACATGCCAAATAAATTCCTGCTTTTGTTAATGCCTGTTAGTATAATCTAGATTGCCTTATTTCCCTTTGATATATCTAATTTCAGAATCCAACTCAAATATTATCTAATTTTCCTTAAATATTTTAATACATGTTTCTCACTTTTGGGAACTACTATGACCAATTGTGTGAGTCAATTTTAAATTTAATTATAGTATTGTTTGTTTTGTGTATATAAGTTAACTTCTCACCTGTGTTGTGAGTTATTTTAAAATTTTAAAATAAAAAGATACAAAAAAAATAAAAATAAATAATTTTTAGGAGTTTGAAAATACTGTGGTGATGTGTGTCATCACCATTTGGGCTCCCTACATGGCTGAAAAGTCCGTGAAGTCAGAGATCATACCGTTTTTCATTTCATATTCGCCTCAGAATCATAAGTACTTAGTAAATAAATGCCAATTGAATAAATGAGTAGAAGAGATTAGGTGCCATTCTTTTTTTTTTTTTTTTTTCCTTTTTGAGACTGGCCGCCTGTCAAATGAGAAGAGTGTAATTTTCTGAATCCTGATAACTTAAAGCTTGTTCCTCTGTGCTTAAGCAAGCTAGACCTCCTATCACAGGGGTGAGCCAGGAGAGGTGCGCTGCATGCATGCAGGTGTACATATGAGCAGTCATCTCCCTTTGGTCTGCATTCAGGTGCTCAGCGTGCAGCACGCCACTCATACCTGTATGCACTGCAGGGTGTTATGTGGGCCCTCACACTGCATACTGGGGCTCTGTCTCTTCCCAGATGTGTGTCTGATTATATGACAGAGCCAAATATAAATATTTTTTTTTCCTTTTTGTCTTTTTTCATGTCCGGCAACGGATCGCAACCCTCAGTGTCGCGCCCGTACCGGACTGGGACTGGCAACGGGATCGCAACCCTCGGTGCTGCGCCCACACCTCACTCATCCAGTGAGCGGGAACCGGTCTGTATGTGGGATCCGAACCCTCGGCGGGAGCGCCGCCGCGCTCCCAAGTGGCGCACTGTAGCAGTGCGCCACCGGGCCGGCCCCAAATATAAATATTTTTTATGTAACCAACTGACCCATAAATATACATCCTGTCTCTTTATTAACATAGATAATTGAAATTAGTTTGTCGTGTTTGGGTCAACAGCAGATAAGCAGTTGTCGTTTATTTCTTGTCCATTCTGTTTGGGTTCTCTCTCCAGGTCAAGGATGTCAAAGATACAACCCTGAGCTCTTCCTAGCTGGCCAGCAGCAGGGCACAAATGACATGGCCAAAAGTAATTCTGCTGTCCAGGACGGCTGTCAGGACTGTGAGGGTGACATGATCTTCCCAGCAGAGAACAGCTGCGCCCTGCCCCAGGAAGATGATGGGGAGGCAAGTTTGGGCTCGGCAGGGTCAGCTCTGCCCACCAGGAAGCGGTCTCGGTCCTTTGAGGAAGAGAGTAATCAGGCTACAGGGACCAGCCTATGGGCTGGAGTTTCTAAGAGAACCCCACGGCATCATCTGTCCCTGTCATACACAAGGCCTAGGGAGGCCAGGCAAGAAGTGGAGGACTGTGTGCCATGGCTCTCTGCAGAATCTGGAGAACCTGCCCGAGAAGTTGAGGACATTGGTCCTGATCCCATTCCTGACACGTACTATGGGCTTCTTGGGACCTTGCCCTGCCAGGAAGCGCCGAGCCACATCTGTAGCCTGCCCACTGAGGTCCTAAGGCATGTCTTTGCCTTCCTCCCCGTGGAGGACCTCTACTGGAACCTGAGCCTGGTGTGCCACCTGTGGAGGGAGATAATCAGTGACCCGCTGGTGAGTAAGTGCTAAGCCGCGTAGGGGCACTTTCTCTAATGGCACGTAAGTCAGCTTCATGTCGTGCATACTTCTGGTGAGGGGATCTCTTCAGAAGTGGTGGTTTCCATTTGCCTTCACAATCATCTCCATATTCCTCAGAGGCATTTGAGGCCTCTCTCCCACGTGTGTTCCAGCCTATTATTCCAGCCTCCTGGCTCCTTCCTCTCAGCACATCCAGTACTCTCTCCACAGTGAATGATTTGCACATTCCTTACCTTCCGTGGGTTACTCTAATCCTCCCACTCCCACCTGAGGGCCCCTCACTTCTCTATTGACATCTTACCTGGTCTTCAACGTTTAGCTCTTACACTGACTGCTCCTTCCTGTTTAACTCCACCAAAGTTAATCACTTTTTCCTCTTTCTGCTTCTGTAGCAGTTTATACCTCTGTTACAGAATTTATTACCTAACTGTGTTAGTTTTTTGTTTTTTTTCTTTTTGGTGACTGGCAAGTAAGGGGATCCAAATCCTTGACCTTGGTGTTATAACATTGCACTCTAAGCAATTGAATTAACTGGCCAGCCATGTATTAGAGTTTTAGAGAGCTTTTCTCCCCACTTTAAATTATGGGCTCATTGATAGAGGCCCATAATTTAAGCTGGTTTTCTTGGGTGCTGAAAGCTGGTTGTTCTGTACGTCTTTGCATTTTCTGTTGTGCCTCACAGTTTCTTACACATAGCAGGTGATTGACCAATGAGTATCACATTGAATCGCCCTGGAGCACCTTCTGAGATTGACACAGTGGACACCGGCTCTAAGAGAAGACTTTCTGGTCCTATAGTTGACCATATTACTGCTCTGGCTTCCCACCCTTTCCTTTGAGGGCAGGGAGAATGTTTGCTTAGCTTATGTATCCCTTAAAGTAGCTATTTGGGAATAAGTCAGAGATACGGAGATTAAATCTCCCTTCAACTGTATTGAAGCTTAAAAATTTAGGGATGGTATGCAAGATAGATATATCAAGACTTAGTAAATTTTTCTTCTGCACACAAAAGGTTTTGGAGGAAATTTCATGTCACTCTAGCCCTGTTCTTTACTTGGGGTACTGACTCCTAGTTTTTGAGAAATACCTTTATACTTTTAGATGTGAACCTGTTTGTGTCATAGTATTTGTGCACACTAAATTGAGATCTCTCGGGTGTGAACTGAATAGTCACAGATAGGGATAAGTGAGGGTTTTCTCCATTATGCTGGAGAAGGTTTTTTGGGACAATGTTCCAGCTTGTACATACTTCTTGAAACGTTAGTAGAATGCTATGTTTATTGTCATTAACAATGATGTGATGTGTTTATTTTCAGTAATTTATGATGGCTCATATTCTTTTCTGGTTGTATCATTGTCTGGCTTTGGTATCAGGGTAATATTGCTTCATAGATAATGAGTTTGGAAGTGCTCCCTCCTCTTCAGTTTTTTGGAAGAATATGAGGAGTATTGGTATAATTCTTTTATAAATGTTCAGCAGAATTCTCAGTGAATCCATCTGGTCCTGGGCTTTTCTTTGTTGGGAGCTTTTTGATTACTTATTCAATCTCTCTACTCAGTATTGGTCTGTTCAGATTTTCTATTTATTCATGATTCAGTCTGGTAGGTTGTGTGTTTCTGGGAATTTAACCCATTTCTTCTAAGTTATTCAATTTGTTGGTGTACTGTTGTTCATAGTTGTCTCTTATAATCCTTTTATTTCTGTGGCATCAGTTGTAATGTCCCTTCTTTCATTTCTCATTTTAGTTATGTGAGTCTTTTCTCTGTCCAGCTAAGGGTTTGTTGATTTTATTTATTTTTTCCCAAAAAGCCAACTCTTAGTTACATTGATTTTTCTTTATTTTTTAAATCTTGAATTTGATTTATTTCTACTCTAATCTTTATTATTTCTTTTTTTCTGCTAACTTTGGGCTTCGTTTGTTCTCTTTTTCTAGTTCCTTGAGGTGTAAAGTTAGGTTGTTGATTTCAGATCTTTCCTCTTTTTTTTCTTTTAAAAGATGACTGGTAAGGGGATCTAAACCCTTGACTTGTTGTTGTCAGCACCACACTCTCCCAAGTGAGCTAACCAGCCATCCCTATATAGGGATCCAAACCCGTGGCCCTGGTGTTATCAGCCCCACTCTCTCCCAAGTGAGCCACGGGCTGGCCCTCTTTCCTCTTTTTCTTTCTTTTTTTTTTTTTTTTAAAAGATGACCGGTAAGGGGATCTCAACCCTTGGCTTGGTGTCGTCAGCCATGCTCAGCCAGTGAGCAAACCGGCCATCCCCATATAGGATCCGAACCCGCGGCCTTGGTGTTATCAGCACCGCACTCTACCGAGTGAGCCACAGGCCGGCCCCTCTTTCCTCTTTTTCAATGTAAGAATTTACAGCTATAAACTTCCCTCTTAGCACTGCTTCCACTGCATCCATAAGCTTTGGTATGTTGTATTTTCATTTTCATTTGTCTCAAGATATTTCCTTATTTTCTCTGTGATTTCTTCTTTGACCCATTGGTAATTTTAAGAGTGTGTTGTTTAACGTCTGTGTATTTGTTGATTTTCAGTTTTCCTTCTCTTGATTTCTAGCTTTATTTCATTGTGATTTTAAAAGATACTTTGTATAACTTCAGTCTTTTTAAATTTGTTAAGACTTGTTTTGTGGCCTAACTTGTGATCTATCCTGGAGAATGTTCCATGTGCACTTGGGAAGAGTATATACTCTGCTGTTGTTGGGTGTAGTGTTCTGTTTGTTTGTTAGGTCTAATTAGTCTATAGTGTTGTTCAGATCCCTTGCTTATTTAATCATCTTGTGTCTGGTTGTTTTAGCCATTACTGAAATTAGATATTGAAGTCTACTATTAATCATGTGTTGCTGTCTATTTCTTCCTTCAATTCTGTTAATGTTTGCTTCAGATACTTAGGAACTGTGATGTTTGGTGCATATATATATATATATATATATATCTTCTTGGTGAATTGACCTTTTTATCATTGCATAATGTCCTTTTTGTCTCTGATAACAATTTTTATGTGTAAGAATACTTTGTTTGATATTAGTACTTTCTTTTTGTCATTATATTGTGTCTCTAGAAATAGTTTTAGACTGAAAAGTCTATTTTGTCCAATGTCAGTATAGCCACATCTCTCATATTTTATCCTCACTGAATTCTGAGCTCTTAGTGTCCTCATGTTTCAGGTAGGGAAACTGAAGCACTTGCTTTTCCCAGATTCTGCAACAAGTTAGTGTTAGAATTAAGACCAGGACCCAGTTCTAGTTTTCAACCAAAATTTGTGTAATATTTCTATCTGATTTGCTCAGCTTTTGAACTGTGAGCTATAACTGCTTTTCAGTTGGTAGAAGGCTTTCTGTGTGCTTGTGGCCTAATCTACTTGCTAACAGCCATTGCCTTCAAATTATTTTGGCTTTTTTAACTATATAGTTCATTCCTTGGAAAAAACTCTATCACCGATACCTAATGAATGAAGAGCAAGCTGTCAGCAAGGTGGACGGCATCCTGTTGACCTGCGGCATCGAAAAGGAGTCAGATCTGTGTGTGCTGAACCTCATACGGTGAGTTTCTTTTTTCCTGTAGGAAGACAGTTCTGAAGTCTTTTTCTGTACGTCAGTGCTTATAATCATCTTCCTTATGGACTCTTTCATGATTGTTTTACAGATATACAGCTACCACTAAATGCTCCCCCAGTGTAGACCCCGAGAGAGTGCTGTGGAGCCTGAGGGACCACCCCCTCCTTCCTGAGGCAGAGGCATGCTTGCGTCAGCACTTGCCTGACCTCTGCGGAGCTGCTGGGGTATGTCAGGAGGCTGGGGCAGGTCCCTGGGAAGGCAGCATCTTCTTTCACTGGAAGGAAGAATATCGGTGATTAAGTTCAGCTGCAGATTACTCTATATTTATTTTCAAAATCTTTATTTAATCTCTGAATGCTTTGGAGCATTAATTTTATCATTGGTCCCACTGCAGAAATAAAAGGCCATATAATTATAACTTCTTAGATTTGAAAAGAATTTAAAAAAAACATTTAGTCCAGTTTATCATTCTGCTCAGGAATCCTCTCTGAAATGTTCCTGAAAGGTGGTCATTTAGTCTCTGAACACTTCGAATATAGGATTTCTTTACAATACAGCACGTTCCATTGTTGACAACTTTGGTTTTTTGAAAAGGGTGGAGAAATTAAGGGTTTTGTTATAGACACACAGTGAGGTAATGAGAAGCTGGAAATAGCCACCATTTTCCTGAATCTCAGTCCTATTCCTCTTCCTCCAGATTGGTGACACTCACATGCAACTCTGCCTGTGTTTGCTGGCCACAGAGGGTTGGAAACCCAGGCATTTGCATTTCTCTCTCTTTTTTTTTTGGCAGCTGACTGGTACAGGGATCTGAACCCTTGACTTTGGTGTTCTAACACCACGCTTTAACCAGCTGCACTAACCAGGCAGCCCTCTCTTTCTGTCTTGAGTGGAATGACTGCTGATGACCATGGAGTGAGTTTTCTTGCACAGGGTGGTTGTAGTGAGAGGGGCAGGGAACTTTCCCTTCCTGAAGTGCAGTCTTTAACAGGGACACTTGTAAGAGTGACAAAAACGTGTTTAATGCTATTTCTTTGTTAATGAACATTTAGTTAGACATGACTAAATGGAGTATACTATCTTCACAAAATAAATTTTTAGTAACTTATTTAATATTTATTTAACTTAATATTTAATAATTGTTAAATAATTTTTTTTAAAAAATTAACATCATCATACTATAGAATTGTCAGTCTTGATTTCTCCCCTAAAGACTGCTGTCCACTTGTCTCTCCATCTTCTGTGCTTCCAGGGTAGGCACTCATTTACTGGTTATCTTGTGTTGAGAACTTGATGTGTGCAAGGAATAGAAAAGTGCAGCGTGGCAGGAGTGTAGGGAGTGAGGGGAGCTAGCGTGAGGTCCATAGGGGCGGATGGGCATGGGTAAGGACAACCTTGTGCGTTACCTGAGACTCTAGAGCACAGCCTAGAGTATGGTGAGCTGTAGTGCTGGTGGCAGGAGCATGACGGCGCAGCCTGGCGAGGTTGCTATAGGTCTCCAGGGACAGAGGGCAAGCCCAGCAATCAGTGAGCATGGGAGGAACGGGGCCAGTGGCACCCAGCGGCGGCCCTGTGGTCCTTGGTGAGGCATGAGGAGGGACAGTGTTCTTGATGGGTCCGGGTGCTTGCTGTGTCTCTGAGTTATGCTTCAGTTCATTTGCTGTGGCTTGTGCCCTGTCCCACTCCGCAGCATGGAGGCAAGGGCAGGGAGCTTCATGATGTGATTCGGACAAGACAGATGCACAGATGACGTGAGTGTGAACCCACATGTCGTCTGCATGTTCACATGGACATGGATGAGGAGCAGGAGACCTGTCAGGGTCCAGCTCAGGTGCCCTTACAAAGCATCACAGACCAGGCGACTTAGACAACAGACGTTTATTTTCTCACAGTTCTTTTTCTTCTTTTTTTTTGGCGGCTGGGTGAACTCGTGACCTTGGTGTTATCAGCACCACACTCTAACCAACTGAGCCAACCAGCCCTGTTTTCTCATGGCTCTGGGGGCTGGAAGTCCAAGACCAGGCACTGGCAGATGTGGTTCCTGGTGAGGAACTGGCTTTCTGGCTTGCGGATGCTGCCTTCCTGCCATGTCCCCACATGGCAGAGATAGAGCTCTGGTGTCTCGTATGAGGACGCCGATCCTATTGGATCAGGGCCCCACCCATATAACCTCCCTGGTGAGGAACTGGCTTTCTGCCTTGCGGATGCTGCCTTCCTGCCATGTCCCCACATGGCAGAGATAGCGCTCTGGTGTCTCGTATGAGGACGCCGATCCTATTGGATCAGGGCCCCACCCATATAACCTCATTTAACCATAATTACAGTCACATTCAGGGTTAGGACCTCAACATGTGAATACTGGGGGGATGTTCAGCCCATAGCAGTATGACATGTTGACTTTTGTTGATTTTTAGGTATTTCTTCCTGTTTTTCCTGGGAGATAATATGACCAAACTGAAATGTATTGTTGAAGGTATTTGTTGCCACAGAAAGACTGATGCTCAGACACAAGCTCTTCTCTCTCTGGGGATGGGGAGGAGTGCAGTTGCTTGCAGGGAGCATTAGGGATCTGGGGAAGTGAGTGTGGGGTCGGGACGAACATGTGGAGGTCCTGCAGTGGCTTGTAGTAGACTGAGCTTGATGATGTCCTGTTCCTCTGCTGTTTGAACTCTGTCATTTTGGTCCCTCTTGGTGACTTGGAGGCTGTTTTGTTTTCTGGTCCTTGGTAATCTTGTTATCCATATAGCACCTTTCCTTTGGGACCTTAAAAGAATGATATTCACGCTCTAAACCAATGTCACTCCACAAGAAGTAGGGGGCAGAGCAGCTGAGGCTCAGGAAGATGTTGATGTCAAGTTTATCAGCAAGTGTTGTAGTATACCAGTAAGATCCTTACTGCTGGAGCAGAGCGTGCATTTATTTTCCACTGGTTTTTATTGCTGTTTTGATTATTTGTCTCTCAAGATCACAGCTAGTGCTCTTGCTCCGTAAAGAGCATGGCCTGGTCTCTTTCTCCTTTTGGTAAGTTATGTAGAAACAGTGCACCTTTCCCAGAATTGTGTTCCCCGAGAATGCTTTTGTCAGCTGCAGATAAATTTAAATTCTCTTCTTTCCTTTTGTTCCCTGAAATGGTGGTAGGTCTTTTCTTTTTAGGAATGGTAAGGAGTTTAAATACATCTGGAGAAAAATGAGATATAGACTGTGACTTGAATTTGAAACTCTCTACTTCTTTTCCTATTAGGATTCACTACAACATTTTCTATTGCCTATATCTTCAGGAGAACTCCTGTACTCAGGCCACAAAGGTGAAAGAGGAGCCTTCTGTCTGGCCAGGGTATGTGTGCAACGTGGCGTGTGTTTTATCTTCCCATCTTGACCCTTTCTCGTGCTTAAGGAGGGAGGTGTTTTGTTTCACTTCATCAGCTTTATTGAGGCATAATGTACATTATGTTATGTAAAATTCACCAATTTTAAGAGTGTGATTCAATGATTTTTAGCAGATTTACTGAGTTGTGCAATCAGCATCATGATGTAGTTTTAGAACATTTTAACCATCCTAAGGGGGAGGCCTTCTTTTGGTCAGCTTTTGTTCTTCCAGTTTGCCTGTTGGTTTTTGGACAGCCTGTTCCCTGGGCTTTTCAATTACTCTCTATTTTTCTAATTTCTCCTCTGTAATGATTATAGCAAGAAAACCATCCAACTTACACATGAGCAGCAGCTGATTCTGAACCATAAGATGGAGCCTCTCCAGGTGGTGAAAATTATGGCATTTGCAGGTAAGAGAGTGCATCCAGCTCAGGATGGGGATTTCTGCCTTTTGTCACACAGTTCCTTCCCACCGTGGGCTGGGGCACCTGTAGCTTCATCTTATCCTCCTGCCACAGTCATAACCTCACCAGCAGCGGGCCAAGGAACGCATGCTTTGTCTTATCACTCCAGGGAGTCACACTGGGATTCCTGTGTAGACAGATAGTTCATAGGAACTAGTTTGTGGGGTAGATACTGCTGGAGTTGATTGATCGCATCGTTTATCATCGTATATGCTCCGTCCCTGATGGCCTCTGGAGAGACCTGTCATATTACTGTCCTGCGTGGAGGTTTTCATTGGCTTCCTGATTTTGTAGAATGACATCTAGAGGGCCCTCCCTCCGTCTGGTTCTAAACTACATTCCTAAATATATTGTCTGCTAGTCTGCCTCAGTCAGCTAAGCTGATCTGCTTACACTCTCCTGAGGTACTTGGTTATTCTCCTGTCTGAACCCTGGTTCATGCTATTTTCTCTACCTAGAATCCCTTCCTGCTTCTTTTCTGCCTCAATATCCTGCTAACAACAACTTGTTAAATACCTTCAATGTGCCTGGCACAGTGCTGAAGCTAACAACATTCTTTAAGGTTGGTTAGTTAACCTTATTTTATAGATAAAGAAGCTCAGAGAGACTTGCCCCAGGTTAAATAAGCAAATAAGTGGTAGAGCCAGAATTTGAAACTGGATCTGTCTCTCTCCAGGGATGTGCTGCCTTCTCTTTTCTCTCCTCTCCCCTCCCCTCTCTCTCTTTTCTCCCTCCCTCATCTTCCCCTCCTCTCTCTGTCCCTCTCTCTCTCTCTGACTGTCTTTGCTATGGTATGTTACTCCCGTCATTTCTGTTTCTTCTTGACAGGGGCCTCTTCGATCATTTGAGTCCTATATGATCTCCGGACTCTTACCATAAATGATTATCTAGTAAATATTTGGTATCTGATTATCTAGCAATAGCCAACACATGCATTTATAAATACTTCCACGTTATTTCATTATTCTTTAAGACAGCCCTGTTAGGTAGGGCAAGAGGTACCATTTTCCTTCTTTTACAGGTGAAATCTTTTTGTTTACAGCCCATGTTCTTTCTCACTATACTGTGTTATCATTATGTGCTCATTTTGTTCTCTAACTGCTTTATTTCCAACTAGATTGTAATGCTTTTTAATATACTCACAGTACTGAGCACACAGCTGAACATGTGCTCGATAAATCCTTGTTAAATGAATGGCAGGTCGAATAACTGAATAATTGAATGAATGGTAGAGAGTTGGGAGACAGGGGAGTCCAGAATTGAGTTTCATCTGTGTGCTCTTGCCTTAGAAGCATAGTGACTACTTGGCCAGCAGTAGTTACCATGTGTTGACTTCCTGCTGTTGGGGACCTTGATGGTTTATCTTTGTCCTCACAAACCCCACAGGTGAGTGCTGCCCACATAAAGCTAAGGAGCAAGCTGCAGCAAGTGAGGTCAAGTGGTTTGCTCTTGGTTACTGGCTAGAACCTGCCAGAGCTAACATCCCAGCCCACCTTAATCTTGCATAGAATCCATTGGGTTTTTTCTTTATTTTTATAGCAGTTTTAGTTTTACAGAGAAATTGAGCAAACAGGTAGTTCCCATACCCTCTCCCCACACACAACAGCCCCACTTTTATCAGTATTGAAAACTTGTCTGGTCAGAGGGTCACATCCTTCCCCTTGGCTTCTGCAGGCACTGGGAAGACCTCCACCCTGGTCAAGTACGCTGAGAAGTGGTCTGAGAGCAGGTTCCTGTATGTGACATTCAACAAGAGCATCGCAAAGCAGGCCGAGCTTGTCTTCCCCAGCAACGTCACCTGCAAAACCTTCCACTCCATGGCCTATGGGCATGTCGGGCGCAAGTGAGCACCGCTGTCCCTGTCATTGTCATCACCCCCCTTCCTCTTTCTCAATGGTGGTTATTATGATCACAGAGACACTGAGAAAGCATAGTGCTCTTACCTGCGTTCACAGGCAGGAATGTAAAGATAGATTCAGTGACTCGTGCCTTTACCCTGTGAAAGTGTATTGTTCTTAAGTGATTTTTCACTGAGGGGGCATTCTCGTTTCTCTGGAATTGAGGCTCAGAAGGTCAGATTGACTTGTTTAAAGATCAGGGTATCACAAAGCTTATCATTTTAGGTTTTCCTTGGACAGGTGTTGGGGAACTGGTTCAAAGTGTATTGTTCTTAAGTGATTTTTCACTGAGGGGGCATTCTCGTTTCTCTGGAATTGAGGCTCAGAAGGTCAAATTGACTTGTTTAAAGCTCAGGGTATCACAAAGCTTATCATTTTAGGTTTTCCTTGGACAGGTGTTGGGGAACTGGTTCAACTGAGGTGCACTGGCCCCAGGTGTTCTTTAAGGAACTTTGGGTGTCCCCTTGGGGGTGCTCTTGGAGCCTAGACTGCAACTTGGAATAGTCGTATCTGCTATGACCTGATTTGTCTTCTGGGTTGTCATACGTGAGTTCATGAAAGTCTAGTGTAAACCATTTCATGTCAGACATGGATCTTGTAGAACTTCTCTGGATTTTTTAAAAGTTCTCTCTCACCTGTATGTGAGAGAGAATGGGGGAGACACTAAATACCACAGTGCCAGTAAAGACAAATACTGTTCATTTGGGATATGCATTCCAGGTACCAGTTGAAGAAGAAGTTGAATCTCTTCAAGTTAACACCCTTCATGGTCAATTCTGTCCTTGCTGAAGGGAAAGCTGGATTCATCAGGGCCAAGCTAGTGTGTAAGACTTTAGAAAACTTCTTTGCCTCAGCTGATGAAGAGCTCACTATCGATCATGTGCCCATTTGGTGTAAGAACAGCCAAGGACAGAGAGTCATGGTTGAACAGAGTGAGAAACTGGTGAGTATCTTAAGTGTTAGGGAGGTGAGTTGACGTGGTGCCATGTTATTTCTGTCTTTCATTTCTTTAGAACTGCTTGCAGGAAGTTGAAGATGGAGGGGCGAGACCGTAGGCCCCTCATGGTAACTGTGGGCTGTGTGGTATCTTCTCCTGTGAAGAACATGCATAGACATCTCACTTAATCCTGATGCAGTCCTCCCATTTCACAGACGACACAGACTCCAAATGACCTGCCCCAGGGTTATAAGGGCTTGTCACTCGGTCTTCTGGACCTAGAATCTAATATTACATAAGACTGGGAATCTTCTAAGTTTTTTGATTATTGGTTCTGTGTAGATTTTGCTAGTGGAAAAGTTGGTTTCTTATTTTTATCAAGTCGTTTTAATCTCTTACCATTCATTTTATGAATTAAGTATCAGTCATAAATCAAGAAAAATAAATTCTGTTTCACCAGTGTTTGTGATGTCTGCTCGGTGCTGTGTCGTGGGCTTGGCACAGCCCCAGCGTCTCACTCCTCTCGATGCCTGAGACCCTCCGGGTATTGAGAGGCTGTCATGGAGCCTCAGGAGGCCAGGGAGACACCTGCCACTCACTGCTCTGTGATGTGGGATTTCAGCATGCTGCCTCTTCCCGCATCTTAAATGCTGAGTTACCATCTCCCTTGCTTTCTAGAATGGTGTCCTGGAAGCAAGCCGGCTCTGGGACAACATGCGGAAACTGCGGGAGTGCACCGAAGAGGCCTACCAGATGACTCATGATGGTAGGCAAGGGCCAGACACCGGAGGCTGCTGGGTGGGATTGCCCTCCTGTGAGTGACACATCTTCTCGCTGCTCCCTCTTCTAGGCTATTTGAAGCTGTGGCAGCTGAGCAAGCCCTTGCTTGCCTCTTTTGATGCCATCTTTGTGGATGAGGCCCAGGACTGTACCCCAGGTGATAAACTATTCAAGACATCAGTAGTCTCAAATACGTAGAAACAGCATCACAATTATGTAAGAGGATTTATAGGTGACTTAAGTTGATTATTATTCTTTGTGATAGAGGAGGAGCAAATGACACTTAGTCACTCAGAAATTCTTGCTCTGTAGGATTTCAACAGCTGTCCCTTCCCCTCGCATAAAGCAGATTTATCTTCCTATATATGTTTTGCTTAGGTTGTTCCTAAAATGTTGCTTGAGTGTAGGTCACCAGATGATGGGGACTAGACTTATGCTGAATGGGAAAAGATAGTCAATTTAGAGGGAAAAATTGTGTTGTATATTTCTCAGGTGGCTAATAGGGAATGCACAGTATTATGAGTGTGATTTTCTAGGTCATGTTTGAGTGTTACAGTATTGAGTGTATTAGTATTAGAGAAGACAATTCGCTTATTTCATATTTGCCTATATATTTTCTTATACTCGGTAATTAATCCAGGACCACAAATCATCTGTTTTCCTGGGACCAAGAACTGTCTCATTTGTACATTATAAAGTTGCTTCTTCTAACCAAGTGCCTGCCCTGCAGGAAGGACAACTTTGTTGTCCAGTGTGCACTTACTAAGTTTTGTGAAAGCGTTTGCATCCTTGTCTTTTCAAATACAATTTCTTTCTGCTTCATGGGCTAAGTCCTTCAGATGCTTCACTCTTCCTCTTACTGGTTGCAGCCATCATGAATATAGTTCTGTCTCAGCCATGTGGGAAAATCTTTGTAGGGGACCCACACCAGCAGATCTATACCTTCCGTGGTGCAGTCAACGCTCTGTTCACGGTCCCCCACACGCACGTCTTCTATCTCACACAGGTAAGAGGGATCCCTGCCTCTGAGTTTCCAGAAGCGTAGGAGCAAGCCTTGTGCTTCCCCTCCTTGTTTTTTTTATGTGCTGGGCATGTGCAAGGTTCACAGTGTATAGCAAGTCCTGGCTTCTAAGCAGTGGTTCTCAAAGTGGTTGTTGGGGGGCTGCACAGTCAAAACTGTTTTCCTGATGGTTACTTGCCTTTTCCACTGTTGACACTGGCACTGGCGGTGCAAAGCAGTGGTAGGTAAAACTGCTGGTGTCTCACCGTGAGTCAATGCCTTGGCACCAGACTGTATGAGCAGCTGGCATATTCTCCAGTGCACTTATAGAGTTTAGAGAAAAGCAGTTGCCTTAAGAATGGCCTTGATAGGGCCGGCCCGGTGGCGCAATGTGCTCTTTTTGCTAGCAGGTAATGGGTTTATTGTTGTTATTTTTTTTTTTTTCCTTTTTGTCTTTTTTCGTGTCCGGCAACGGATTGCAACCCTCAGTGTTGCGCCCGCACCGCGCTCAGCCAGTGAGCGGGAACCGGTCTGTATGTGGGATCCGAACCCTCGGCGGGAGCGCCGCCGCACTCCCAAGCGGCGCACTGTAACAGTGCGCCACCGGGCCGGCCCTATTGTTGTTATTTTTAAGTGAATTAAAGTTTCTGGTATGGTTTCTAACTATAGATAGATATAGATTTACAGCTCATGTAAATGAGCTGCTTGGAGACCTTTTAGTAATTTTTAAAAGTGTGAATGGTCCTGAGACCAGAGGTTTGAGAACCACTCCTTTCAAGAAACTGACTTCCAGTTAGAGGATGTGGGATGTGTTATTTGTATTAAAGTGTAAGTTGTATTGTGTCATATTAGCTTTTGAAAATTCTGTAGACTCCTGTGACTCTCTTGCCTTGAGTTCTTCTCCGCTGTAGTGATTTAGGGTGGTCAGCTCCGAGTGGTTTTGTTTTTTTAATAGATGGCATTTTTTTTTTTAGCAGTTTCAGATTTACAGAAAAATTAAGAAGATAGTACAGACAGTTCCCATATACCCTATACTCAGTTTCCCTATTATTATTCCACATTTTATATTGATGTGGAACACTAACCATGATTAATGGACCAGTACTCATACATTATTATAAACTGAAGTCTGCAGTTTATTCACATGTCCTTACTTTTTAAATAATGCCTCCTACTACTGCAGGATCCCATCCAGAGTTCCACATTACATTTAGTCGTGTCTTCTCAGGCTCTTGTAGGCAGTGTCAGTTTCTCAGACTTTCCTTGTTTTGATGACCTTGACAGTTTTGAGAAGTACTGGTCATATATTTTGCAGGATGCCCCTGTACTGGAATTTGTTTAATGTTTTTTCTCCTGGTTAGACAAGAGTTAAGGGTTTGGGGAGGAAGGCTACAGAGGTGAAGTGCTGTTTTTGTCACATGGTATTAAGGGTTCTTGTCATCAGGATGCTTTATCACTGTTGATTGACCTTGATCAGCTGGCTAAAGTAGTATTTGTCAGGTTTCTCCACCGTAAAGTTCCTCTTTGTCCCCCCTTTCCATGCTGTGTGCCTTGGAGGGAACCACCTATACTCAGCCCACACTCAAAGAATAAGTGTTGGAGTATCTTCATAAGTTATTTGGAATTCTTTTGTAGAGGAGATTTATCTCTTCTCCACTGTTTGTTTACTCATTCATTCATCTATCTCAATATGGGCTCATGAATATTTTATAATTAGGGTTATGGTGCACTAGGAACAGGTTAATAGCAAAAAAGTACTATTTTTTGGAAGTCTAGTTTTCTTTTGGCTGTTTTTTTACTATTACAAAAGCACATAATACTTGATTACATTAAGTTATAAATGCATGGAAGGAGGCGGTACATGCCATGAGTTTGGTGAAGAATGGTATCTTTGCAGCTGGAGTGGTCAAAGAAGATGGGTCTTTGGCTTATTTTTGAAGGGTGGGAAGTGAGTTTGATATGTGAAGGGGACTTCTAGGCTAATAGAAAACAGCATAAGCCGTGGCAGGGGAAGGACAGGGGAAGCTCAGGTAATGATGACTGTACTCATGACTGGCTTGTGCAGGGCAGTGGTGTTAATGTTGAACGGGATCTCAAAGGCAAGAGGAGAAATCCTCCCTATCCACTCTTAGTCTTTTGTATAGTTAAACTTAGCTAGATTTGGTTTGGAAAAAAAGGTAGATTTGCTTTAAAGAAAAGTTTACAGGCTGGCCGGTTAGCTCAGTTGGTTAGAGCATGATGCTGATAACATCACTGTCCAGGGTCCAATCCCTGTACCAGTCAGCCACAAAACAAACAAACAAACAAACAAAAGAAAAATTTACTGTTGGTGTTGAGCAATAATGGAAAAATAAAGACCGTCTAGATTGTGAAGGATCTTGAAAGCGAGCCCATCACTTTTTTAGAATGGTTTGACAGTGGGAGGAGACGGAGATAAAGAGACCCATAGGAGAGGCATGAAGTTAGAGTTTCTGAGCTGAACTGGTAGCAGTGGTAGGAACAGACAGTGTAGATAGGATGATGGAAGAGTTGTCAAGGTTTGGATTTGGAGGCAAGGTATTAAGAAAAAGAGGTCACTCAAGGGTTTCAAGATAGGAAATACTACTCATAATTCCTAGAGATGACGTCAGTGACTCTTTGATGTCTAGATCTTGTCTGGGTAGAAGTGGTTCTACCGTAGGGAATTTCCACATCCCCTTTCATGTGGGATGACTCAGGGATAATTTATTGGGTTTGGCAGGGCCAGGCCTTGGCAGTGATAGAAATGTAGTCACGTACATCTGGGTGGGTTGCTAACTCCTCTTGTTGTTTTTCAACAGAGTTTTAGATTTGGTGTGGAAATAGCTTACGTGGGAGCTACTATCCTGGATGTCTGCAAGAGAGTCAGGAAAAAGACTTTGGTCGGAGGAAACCATCAAAGTAAGGCTTTCAGTTACTCTTTCATTTGTTATGGAATTTAATTTTCCACTGTATTTTGCTTTGCCATAGAGTTTGTGTTCTCTCCCCAAAGGTGGCATTCGAGGGGATGCCAAGGGGCAGGTGGCCCTGTTGTCCCGGACCAACGCCAATGTGTTTGACGAGGCTGTACGGGTGACAGAAGGAGAGGTTCCTTCGAGGGTGCATTTGATTGGGGTAAGAGTAAGTTTTTGTTGACTGCTTCATGCACAGAAGTGTTGCAGACACACACCCCCAGTGAAAATGTTCAGCTTAATTAGGATTATTATGCAAGAAAGCATTTGGGTTTAATGCTTTCCATCAGGCTGCACTGTGACCCAAGTCTTTTTTACCCCTGGCTGTTCTGATTATGCTCGTGAAGCATTCCTGTTGTGACAGACCCAACAAGGACTCAGGATCTTTTCTTTCCATCTTTAAAAAATGAATTCCTTTCTTACCCTTGACCATGTCTGTGAGGCCAAGGCTGCCCTAGGCTTTTCTGGTCGTGTGTTGTATGTTAGTGTAAGAACAGCGGAGCTGGCAACACATGGATTCACAAGCCTTGGTTCTAGTGCTGGCTGTCACTAACACTGTGTGGCTTGAGGCAAGTCACCACTCTGTGTGCCTCATTCTCTCCCTCTCTAGATAGCGGTAGTGCCTTTTCTTCACCTGTTTCATAGGGAAGTTAGGAGAATTAAGTGGCATGTTTACAGCATTTTTAATTCTGAAGCAGTTATATGACTAAAAGATATTCATTTATGGAAAAGTATTTTCAAGGGTCTCTTATGTGCTGGGTGCGCTAAATATAGTCAGTGAATCATAATCAAAAGGTGTTTTTTATTTATGAAAATCAATATAACCGTATTATAGAAATGTCATAAATTAAAAGGGAAAAAATCATAATCCCAGTGTTTGACATAATTCTCATTTCTACTGATTATTTTTTATTTATTTATTTTTTTTGTCTTTTTCGTGACCAGTAAGGGGATTGCAACCCTTGGTGTGGTGTCGCCCACATCGCGCTCAGCCAATGAGCATACCGACCAGTCCTATATAGGATCCGAACCCACGGCGGGAGCGTCGCTGCGCTCCCAGTGCCGCAGTCTCCTGAGTGCGCCACGGGGCCGGCCCTCTACTGATTATTTTTGTCTTTCCCCTTATAGATGTATATTTTTGCATAATTGCAACTATAGTGTACATCAAAACGTATGCCATTTTTCTCTCAACACATAAGCATATTTTCTTTCATTGCTACTTTGATGACTTTATAATATTTCACCTAGTGGATATAGCATAACTCAGCCATTTTCATATTGTAAGAGAATTATTGTTTTTGGCATATCATCCCTGATGGGCATAACATAAAGTAAGTGGCTCTCTTCCCCTCTCTTACATACGCTTGTCATTGGTAGCATGCATCTGCACTTGGTTACATGTCTGGTTGTGAATTATAATGTATGCTGTCTTATTGTGGTCTCTGTTTTATGTGTCCCTCCCCAGAATATGAAAAGCTTTTAGAGTGTGGGGCCCTTGTCACCTCTGTCTTCTGTGCTGGGCCTATGCCCTGTGTGTGCTGAGCCAATGCCCTGTGTGTGCTGAGCCACAGCCAGGGCTCAGCAGGTTCTTCTTATGTAGAATGGGGCTAACCTGTGGCACAATCAGGTCCTCTCCTCTAAGGCTGACCTTTTAAAACATAGAATAGTCTGGACCTAGAGACATTCTCTAGTTCTTATCTCATGAGAAACGGTGGTAAGTATTCATACTCGACACTTTGTGCTCAGGTATTGTTTAGATTCTTTGCAACCATTTTACATTCCCTCTTATTGATGAGGAAGCAACGCACAGCGAGATCTTGCCGAAACGTAAAATCTGATGGTTCCGAGTGTTGGGGCCACACTACAGCCTGGCACTTTGGTGTGATGGCGTTGCCTGCTTACTCTCTGTGCTTTGGGTGCATTTTGAGATCCGTTTCCAAGAGACCATCTCATCTCAAAATCCCATCCCTACACTTGCTTTATTTTGTTTTGTTAAAGCAACAGCAATTAAAAAAAAAAACAAAGATCCCACCAAAAAACTTTTTCAGGGGATTAAATCATTTGGATTGGACAGAATCATTGATATTTGGATCCTTCTTCAGCCAGAGGAAGAACGGAGGAAACGTGAGTATCCGCCTGGCCTCTGTGCGGTGGAAGGAAGCACTTGGGGCAGGGATGGGAGAGAAGCAGGCGGTTCCAAGTCAGTGTTCTGCTTTCCTTCAGGACTGGGGGGAGCTCTTTCCCCATAAAGAGTGGGTGCCTCCAGCCTCCTGTTTGCAGAGGTACTGACAGACTTTTCCAGGTCCTCCTCTCAGGAGTCTCCATTTCTTTCTAATGTTGGTTCCTTAGGTTGTCTTGCCCCTCATCTTTCTGTCTTCCTGGGCAACTTTTCACATGGACAGTTACATGTGGGCCCAGATGATAACTCCTAACATGTCTATAGCGCCTTTCTTTTCCTATTGACCATGCTATTTCAAATCTCTGTGAAGTAGGTGAGGTTCTTTATCCTCAGTTGGAGACGGAGAGGCCATTGCATTGACTTGCCCAGGGACACACAGCAAGTTAGTAATGCAGTCAGGACTGGAACCTGGGTCCCCTCTGTGAGACCCTCCGCTGTCACACTGGTGGTTAAACACGTGCAGTTGCTGCCACCGACTATTAGGGCAGCCTGTGTCACATTCACCTGCATCTCCTTAGAAAACCTCATCATTAAAGACAAGTTTATCAGAAGATGGGTGCACAAAGAAGGCTTTAGTGGCTTTAAGAGGTACGTGACTGCTGCTGAGGACAAAGAGCTGGAAGCCAAGATTGCAGTAGTCGAAAAGTATAATGTCAGGATTCCAGAGCTGGTGCAGAGGATACAGAGATGCCACGTAGAAGATCTGGACTTCGCAGGTAAGGAATGTGGTTGGTTCTTACCTTCCCACCAAGAGAAGGAACAGGAGGTCTTTTGATATTTCTTACCTGTCTGAGGTGTCTGTGGCCAAGGATGCCTTTGTCATTGAAGAGGAAGGGGAGCAGAGCTCCTGTTCTTCCTCAGGGCTCTCTATTTCTCTTCTACTTCCAAGCCAGTACAATAGGATTTTCTAGTCCCAGCTCTGCTGGGTGAAACTCTGGGTGAGCCACACAGCCCACTCCTGTTCTTCCTCAGGGCTCTCTATTTCTCTTCTACTTCCAAGCCGGTACAATAGGATTTTCTAGTCCCAGCTCTGCTGGGTGAAACTCTGGGTGAGCCACACAGCCCTCTCTGGGCCTCGGTCCCTTCATGTGTAAGTTATAGGGGTGAGCAGGGTCACTTTGGCCTCTGCAGTCTGATTCTGAGAGGTACTAACTCTCCAGTTCACTTTCTTCTTTTCCCCTCACTTTTTTCATTTTTCTTTTTCCTTTGACTGTAGTTTCCTCTTCCCTCCTTTTCCCAGAAAGCTGCACAGAGGCAAGGAGCCATATTAGTTAGAGTATAAGAGTACAGCAGGAAGTATACCTTCGTTTCCCTTCTCTCATGTCTACCCCATGAAATTCCCACCTAACCATGTGCTGTTTTTGTTCTAGAGTACATACTGGGCACTGTGCACAAAGCCAAAGGCTTGGAGTTTGACACTGTGCATGTTTTGGATGATTTTGTGAAAGTGCCTTGTGCCAGGCATAATCTTCCCCAGCTTCCCCACTTCAGAGTTGGTAAGGAGACTGGTTGCTCCTAGGACATTCTTATTTTAGCAGTTGAGAGTTGGTGGGGATGCTTCCTTTTGACTGCCTTGACTTTTGTGGGTGGTGTGGACTCTTGGGAGGGTTTTTGTAGAAGAAAAAAAGCACCTCCTAGTCCTAAACTTTTGATTGTTATACTGTGTTTTTCAGAAAAACCAAACTTCTACAGGGTCCACCCTCTCTTTGTTGCTTATAGGGCTGTTATGCTTCTAGGGGCCTCTTTAACATGCACCTGCTCTTTAGGTTTGTATTTTTCACCATCAGACATTGGGTGTCCCAGCCTCATAAAAGCTTTAAAACATATAATTTACCTACTTACCAAGGTGTTTTTTAAAAAATTAATTCCTCTTCTTTTCATTAAAGAGTTTAGAAAAACATAAAAGCTGAAATAGTAAGCACTCTTTAACATTTGTCTGCTTTTTAATAAACGTATACTCAAGGCTGATTGTTAAACTCTAAGCATCAGTGCTATTTTATTTTAAATCTTGGAATAAAATCATTTGAAGTTTAACTACAAACAAACTAACAAATGCTCTCTGCTAATTGTAGATTCAGAATTTGGGGCATAGCATACCTTGGAATGCCAAAAATATAAATACTAAACGTTCCTTATCTCTGGTGAATATGGTCATAAAATGAAGGAGAAACACAGGGGTTAAACGTAAACTGGAGTGGAGCGAGGAAATGAGGGGGCCATGGAGAGGGATCAGCTGCTTTTGTTGTGGGGAGAGGTTTATTTTATATTACTACCTTTTTCCCCGACTGGTTTCCATAATTTTTTTTGTATAGCAGGATGATTTATTCAGAGTGTTCCCTCCAGGAGGTGAGGTGTGTGAGGAGCTGTGGCGGCTAAACATTGCTGCCAGTGGCCTTGAGCCGGGGTGTTGGGGGGAGGGAGGTTGGGCAGTGACCACTTTTTAGTATATTTATTGAGCCAAGCACCTTTCTGGGCATGGGGGTTATAATTGTGGGCAAAAAAAATTTCTGCCCTCATAGAGCCTACATCTACATGAAGAGATGGACAGCAGATAAGTAAACAAACAATATCTCTTCACATTTTTGAGGAAGATAGTATCAGAGCTGAAAAGGGAGAAACTTTGCAAATAAATATTTTGTGTGACTCATTATAACGGCAAAAGCTTCTTGCATAAGACTGATTAGCTTGCATTTTTATCACTTTTACCTTTCATGTCTCCTTGACATTTTTCCTCTAAGCGTCTCAGAGACAAGCTTATTTGGCCATAGAATGTCTCTGGAATTTGAAATCAGATGCTTTTTTCCCAAAGCAGTTTTTCACCTGGGGCCTCACCAAGTGTGACAGCTTAAGCATCAGAACTTAGAACTGAAGCTGTTTTTTTTTTTTCTTTGATTGCGTCTTTCCTGTTGCTTTGCTCACCAGCAAAATTTTTCTGTAAATCACCAGATAGTAAATATTTTAGCCAGGTGGCTGACGAAGACAGCCAAGGGGCAGATCCTGGTACTTGATGGCCGAGGTCACCTGCTGGGCCGCGTAGCCACAGTCATGGCCAAGCAGCTACTACTGGGCCGGAAGGTGGTGGTTGTACGTTGTGAGAGCATCAACATTCTGCCAATTTCTTTTTTTTTTTTTGTCCTTTTTGAGACCGGCCGCACCGCGCTCAGCCAGTGAGCGCTGTGAGCGCACCGGTCATCCCTATATAGGATCCGAACCCGCGGTGGGAGTGCTGCTGTGCTCCCAACGCTGCACTCTCCCGAGTGTGCCACGGGCTCGGCCCAACATTCTGCCAATTTCTACAGAAAGAAGTTAAAGTACCTGGCCTTTCTCCCAAGTGGATAAACATCAACCCATCCCGTGGCCCCTACCACTTCCCAGCCCCTGGCTGCATCTTTTGGCAGACCATGCAAAGCATGCTGCTGTACAAGACAAAGCGGGGCCAGGCTGCCCTGGACCACTTCAAGGTGTTTGATAGGATCCCACCGCCTATGACAAGAAAAAGCAGTGGTGGTTCCTCCTGTTCTCAGGGTTATGCATCTGAAGTCTACAAGAAAGTTTGCCTACCTGGGACACCTGGCTCCTGAGGTTGGCTGGAAGTACCAGGCAGTGACAGCTACTCTGGAGGAGAAGAGGAAGGAAAAGGCCAAGATCCAAAGAAAAAACAACTCACAAGCTAAAAAGAACGTGGAGAACAAAATTGACAAATACACAGAGGTCCTCAAGACCCATGGACTCCCAGTGTGAGCCCGATGAAGACTTTATTTCTCATGCTTGGTTTGGCCTACCCTTCCTCCATCACCTCCCTGGGATGTGGGGGACCTAGGGACAGCTGTCCAGGCAGCTTGGGACTTACGGAGTTGGGGACAAAGAAAGGACCTTAGGTACTGCTCCTGTTTAAGAAGTCCTTTCCATAAATTCAGTTTCAGTATTTGCAAAAGTGAGCTGCAGCTGTCAGAATGAGAGAAAAGGCTTGTGGGGCTGGTGTGAACCCAGTGTTGTACAAAGGGTATTATGCAGGGAAGATATGCAGCCAGGGGTTACAGGCACTGCACTCTCTCTTTCCCTGTATTTTGTGATCAAAATAAATTATTTCTAAAGAAAAAAAAAATATTTTAGGCTTTGCAGGTCATGTGATCTCTGCAGCTACTCAACTCTGCCGTTGTAGCACAAGAGCAGCCATGAGTGTATGTTAACGAATGAGTGTGGTTTTGTTCCAATAAAACTTTATTTACAGAAACAGGCACTGGTCTGGATTTGGCCCACTTGTAGATTGCTGACCTCTGGTTTAGAGATAAGTGTCACTTCCCTTAATCTGTAAACCAATACCCCAAGGAGTTAAGCAGAATCATCTTTCTGTACAAACAGCTGGTACCTGTTACACGAATTTGTATATGAACTTTTATCACAAGTATTTTTTTAAAACCTGTAGTATGGTTTTCTCATAGAATTAGTGTTACGCTAGTGGTTAGACATATAACAAAACCACGTTGTCGTAGTGGTGACTTTTAATTGGGGGTATTATGGAGCACTGGGTCATTTTATAACAGGATTTTTTTTTTTTACTTATGAAAACTTTGAGACATTAAAAAGTAGAGAAGACAGTGTATTCAACAATTGTAAACAAATCTCCCCTATATATATTTGGAGTACTTTTTTCTAAAACTATGGACCTTTTTTCCTCATAACCACAGTGCCATTTTCATATTTATAAAATTTTTTTTTGTCCTTTTTGAGACCGGCCGCACTGCGCTCAGCCAGTGAGCACCCCGGCCATCCCTATTTAGGATCTGAACCCGTGGCAGGAGCGCTGCTGCGCTCCCAGCGCCGCACTCTCCCAAGTGCGCCACGGGCTCGGCCCATATTTATAAAATTTTTTTTTGTCCTTTTTGAGACCGGCCACACTGCGCTCAGCCAGTGAGCACCCCGGCCATCCCTATTTAGGATCTGAACCCGTGGCAGGAGCGCTGCTGCGCTCCCAGCGCCGCACTCTCCCAAGTGCGCCACGGGCTCGGCCCATATTTATAAAATTTTTAATAACATGTGGCCTCAACCGCCCAATCCATAATCATACTTTTATGATTGTCTCAGAAGTACCTTTTTTACAGCTGGTTTGTTCAAATCAGGATCCAAATAAACATTTGGTTGGTAGTCTCTTAAGTTATTTAATTTGGAGAAGTCCAGAACCCTCTCTTCCCCCCTTTTTAATGCTCCTGTCTTATTGCAGAAACTAGGTCACTTGTCCTAGAGAATGTTTCACGTTCTAGATTTGCTGCCTTGTGTGGTTATATAACTTGTTCTGCCATTGCCTACCCTGGATTTCCTGTAACTGGAAGCTAGCCCAGAGAGACTTGATTAGATTCAGGCTTAACGTTTTTGGCAGAATGCTGCATTGGGGGTGAGAGGGACTGTGTTTCTCATCACATCAGGAGGCGCATGATATCAGGTTATCTGTTGCCTTCTTAGTGATGCTGAGATTGTTCATCTTTTTACTAGACAGAACTAGGAAATTCAGATTTTTGAAAAGAAAGAAAAATCAGTGGTACATATTGATAATTCCTATCTCAATTTATAATTTAAATTTGTTAAACATAACACAAATATATAAAACAGCATAAGCTAGTTTAAAATTATGTTGCAGTCGGTGTCCACCAGGCCAGGTGGTGGGATCTGCCAGCCCCCAGGTGGCCCCTCAGGGAAAGCGCCTCTCTCTCCCTCCTGGAGTGACCACCTTCCCGGCTGCTCGGACCAGCACTGTCTAGCTTTGCTTCATAGTGTTTTACCAAGTGTGCCCCACCAACAACACGAGCACTACACGAGGCAGTTTTACGCTGCTCTCCTTGTTCTCCCTGTTTTTTGGAGCTGCACAGTCAGAGCCCATAGCCCATCCCATAACACATGAGTTGAAGTTCTATAGTCCAGTAAAGATTTAACATTATAGGATTTCACTTCTTTTACACTTGAATTCTTTCTCTTACACTGAAAATTTTGGTTCCTAATAGTATTTATTACTTACTTATACTATTCTATGTATTTCAAAATAATGTTGAAAATAATACCAATGTTACTTCTGTGTGTGTGTGTGTGGCTGGCCAGCAGGTACTGGTATGGGAAGCCTTGACCTTAGTGTTACTATCAGTACTGTGCTCAATCCAACTGAGCTAACTGGCCAGCCCTCGGTATTACTATTAATAAAACACTGCTTGGAATTTAAGATTTCCCAACAGCTCCATTTCTCCTGAACATATATTTCACTAATGATGTGTAGTCAATATCATGTTCTGGAGTTGCTTAAAATAAGTTTTTTTCTCTGGTTTTATTGCCAATTAAATATAGTTAGATATGTTTGTCTACAATCCCTACAGGGATTGCTTTGTTTCTTTTTGATTTAATTATCTCTTTTGAATGTATAAAATCTATTTATGTTTTCAAAGTCAAACCTTACAGCAAAAGAAGTCTCCTTTCATCCCTGTCCCCTTCAGACTATTCTCCCCCTCTGCCATTGGTAGCTGGTTTTTAAAAACTACTGATTTATTGTTCAGTATTTCTTTTCACAAATATTAGCAAACTTGTATGTATTTCATATTCTGTTCACAAAAGGTAGCATTCTCTATATGCTGTTGTGAACCTTGCTTTTGTCACCTAGAGGTACGTATGGAAGTCACAGTCTATCGGTTCCTGAAGTGCTCTCTTTTCTTGTACGGCTGGATTGTATTCTGTGTCCACGTGCTGTGATGTATGCAGTCCCTCACTGATGGGCGCTGGGTTGCTTCTGATCTTTTGTTTTCAGTAATCAGGTTGCAGTGCATAATTGTATACACTAGTTATTTTCTACTTTTGCCAGCGCACCCTGGGAACACATTTCTAGAAGTGGAACTGCTGGGTGAAGGTAAATGCGAATGAGATTTTTCTAGATATTGCCAAACTCTTCACAGAGATTGTGTCACTTTAGAGTCTGACCAGTTATATTGTAGAAGAGTTAAAAAGGCCATTTTAAAGTTAATGGTAAGTTTGTTAGTTGGTTACCATATATGTTTTATGAAAGGAGTTTTCACCATAGAAGAAAAGCGCACATCATCTGGAGAGAAACTCCCCTCACTGAGACCGGGCTGGGAAACATCTGCGTGCCCACAGGGCGCTCAGGAAGCCTGGAGAAGGCGCCTGTTTGTGGGAACAGATGTTTAAGCCTGAAAGGCCTGGTGTGTGGCGGGTGCTTCTGCTTTTTCTTTTCAAAGCCTGTAAGTCAGTTTGGGGACATCCTGCTTCACAAGTGGCTGACTCCAGCCTCTGCTCGGAAAGGATAGCTATAAAGGATGGCAGAGACTCGGGGGCAGGTGAGGGGCACACGTGTGACGCTGTGAAACCGTGTCGAGAGTGATGGAGTCAGGCACAGTGGTGGTGGAGACAGAAAGGAAGCCAGTGTTCCCTGCTCCCTAGAGTGAGAAGCCATCCTGGTCTCCCCTGTAACCAACAGTGGTCGAACAGCCTCCTTTTTCTCTGACCCCCCTTAGACCAGCCAGTCGAATCACCAAAGCCTTCGTTCCTTTGTTTCTTTAAGTTTTGAGGAGGTGAAGGCAGTCATTACATCTCTGAGGTATTAAGTGGCATAGCGTTATTCTAGTTGCTCAAAGACAGTTTCTGAGCCTTGCAGAAACTTAGATTCTCCATCCCAAAGTCACTAGCACGACCTCAGAGTGGTGCCCAATACAGAAACTCCGCAGGTGTGTGCTGAGTAGAGGAAAGAAGTACCCCTGCTCTGGCTGGTCGGGCAAAGAGCACAGCCCACGGCAGCCTGGCCCCCCTCCCAGTCCTTCCACACACCCCATTGTGAATTGCTGGGCACGCTACTTGCCCACTCTGTGCCTCAGTTTCCTTATCTGAAACAGGCATAACGTCAGTAACTTCAACTCAAAGGATGTTTTTTACAGATTAAGTAAATGTTAGCTATTACTTTATCACATTGAAGTTACATGATTTTATGCAATCAGATTTACCCTCCAGGGTTCCACAAGGCCAAACTTTGTTCATAGTATACACATCATGTATGTAACATACACTGTGTTCATAGTACATGTCATGTAAACACTGTTCATAGTGCTTGTCATGTATGTAACAAAAAATTCGTAGTACATGTTATACATGTAACACACTGTTCATAGTGCATGTCATGTACATAACATGCACTGAGTTTATAGTACGTCATGCATGTAACACTGTTCATGGTGAATGTTATACATTACACATAGTGTTCACAGTGCATGTTCTACATGATGCACACTTCATGGTACATGTTATATATGAAACATACACTGTATTCACAGTACATGTTATACAGGTAACACTGACCACAGTGTGTTATACATGCAACACACTGTTCACAGTACATGTTGTAAATGTAATATATACTGTGCTTACAGTACATATTATATATGTACTGTTTGTGGTACATATGTATTTTACATGTAACGACACCTGTTTATAGTACATATTATACATGTAACAGTCACTGTTTTTAGGGTACCAGGATGTTTCTTTTACTTTTTGCACTAACGCTCTCACAAGTGTGCAGTGGAGTCCCCAGAGGCCACCTGACATGTGATGTCAACACAGTTTGAACACAGAAGCACGGATGAGAGTCCTGTTGGCTTCTATTAAGCTAGATATTAAAGAGATTTGCAAAAATGTAAAGTAATGGGCCGGCCCGGTGGCGCACTGCTACAATGCGCCGCTTGGGAGCGCAGCGGCGCTCCCGCCGAGGGATCGGATCCCACATACAGACCGG